TTTTCATTTTCATTTTCATTTTCATTTTCATTTTCATTTCATTTTCATTTTCATTTTCATTTTCATTTTCATTTTCATTTTCATTTTCATTTTCATTTTCATTTTCATTTTCATTTTCATTTTCATTTTCTTGTTTACCGCCAGTGTGTGAACTGGCTCACAACATGTTATGTACAAGGGTCGAGTTGAGACTTTTCCTTATAGGGAATAGCGTTTAGCTAAAGGTAACAATGTATTTATAGAATTCCTCCCGGCAGGGAGAAGAAGCAGGAATGAATTGAGTAACCCCACACAAGCTTGTGAATTGACCATTGGTAGTGTTCCGACACCACCTTCATTTTTGCCCTTGCTATAGACAGAGGGAGAGACGATGTAGGCATTAGACATGCTGACTTGGCTACAGAGTCTGCTTCTTTGTTTCCGGGGATTCCAGAATGTCCAGGGCACCATCTGACACTGACTGTTCCAGCCCTAGTGCAGGATGCGCGTTTCCTTTCAGACCAGCTGGCTGCGAGTTTTCGGAATTTCATAATTTGACGGGAACTTGTTGCAGTGGGGGGTAGCAGGAGCAGCCGTAGAGCCGCTTCTCTTCCTTCTGTACATGGCAGAGCCCATGCAAAGTGGTAATATAGGAATGAGGTTCAGCTACGCGGACGACGTCGGGATCCTAGGATTCGGGCGCAGCATTGCCGAGTCAGCTGCTTCTGTACAGAAGGAAGTGGACCATCTTCTGGATTGAGCGAGTACCAACGCAGTATCCTTCGATACTAACAAGTCGGAGGTAGTCCAGTTTCCCGGACGAAAACGCGAGAAGCTAGTGAGCATTTGTGTGAACAGCATGGTTATCGAGCCATCAGACCAAATACGCTGGCTGGGAGTACACATAGACCCGCGACTGGACTTCAAACACCACGTCACAACGTGGTGCGGCAAAGCTCTGAAAGTTGCTCAGCAAATGCAATGCTTCAATTCAGCGTAACAAGGAGCCGCCCCTGCGGCACTGGTTCTGGCAGTGGACACGTGCGCTGTTCCCGTAGCAGCCTTTGTGTTACGGCCTTGTATTCCTGACCCTCGGGGCCTCTAATACTATTGTTCCTTCCAAGTATTGTGTTATGATCCTACATATGCACGGACCAATTGTAAATTATGTATATATGTATATCTCTAGATACCTCTTGTTAATTTCTTCCCTTAGTTTAGAATCTTATCAATTATATTCCAGATCTGAGTCCTTACCTGATTCGACTTGTTCATCTGCTAACCTGTGCTCCCTTCTGGCCGTCACACTTTGGAGCAGAAGTTTGGTGGCCCGGCCTCAAACGTCCGACCAAAAGGGGAATCATCATACCTCGGACTAGCAGTTTCTGCGAGATGATCGATAAGGCAATATTGACGGGACTGCGTGCTGCCCTCCCGGTAATGAGAACGACACCGAATCCAGTTCTCCACCGCAAAGGAGGTATCCCGATAGGGAAGATCATTCTGGAAGGGAACCGACTAAGGCTTTCGGCTCGGCTCCACTCACTAGACAACCGCCATCCGCTCCGGACTCGTGCCGCCGTGTGTCCAAACGATGGAACATGGAAGTACAAGAAGTCTGCTCGGGTACCCAAAAATCCGGAGATCCAGATGTCACGAGTACAGCGGGCCTACCGACAACTCCCGGACGCGGAAGACACCGATCCTTTACCGCTACCATGCTTTCTTTCGGGTTTCGGCTCAAGTTTAGAGGAGGAAGAGAGGGCAACTCGGTTCATTGATAGTGTACCGGCATCAGATATTTGCGCCTACTCGGATGGATCGTCGGAGGAGAATGGTCGCTCAGCATGGGGGTTTGTCTTGAAGTGGGATGGAAAGACTCTATTGAAGGGATACGGCATCAAGCATGGTGGTGAAGTGCTTGATGCGGAAATTGTAGGGGCAACAAAGGCCCTGGAAGCTGCGCTGGGATTGTTGGAGAGGGAGGACAGTGGATTTGACAGCAGGCGGCGGATCAACTTGTTGTTGGATAGTCAGTCTGCAGTGAAGGCACTGCTGACAGGAACTGCCACAACAAGTCTCGACGATTTGCGACAATTTAGAGCGTTATCAGAAAAGGCTCGAGTCTCGGTTCAGTGGATACCTGTTGTGCTCAGCTAAGGTAGCCCTGGCAGGTAGCACATGGAGGGTGAGTGTGTCATCAAGGTACCTCAGGCATGGACAACTCACATGACATGTTTGGCGCATCTGTTCAGGCAAGGCACACTTCATGAGTAAGCATGATGGGCATATGATTCGCTGGTAAGCGAGTCCATGGGGTATAAAAGGGGAGTATTTCCCACTGTAAATTAGAACATATACTCTTAGAGTCATCTACAATTCACTCTCGATAAAACATCATACCTTAGCCGTCAAATGCAAGTGTACGTTCCCCATTTCATATACCAAGTAAAATAATACCGGCCCACTCCGGGATACAGGGAAACGAAGAGGCCGATAGAGCTGCACGCTCCGGCCTCCGACAACTGCCAAGTAAAGAGAGCCAGCCTGGCTCCGTCACGTTGGCGTACGTTCGTCGGCTCATGGACCGGAACAGGCAAACGCTTCTTGACGACGGGTGGGAAGAAGCATGTCCATCTAGATATCGTAATCTGGGCCTTCTCATGCGACGAAGCAAGCCACGCGAGCTGGCACTTTCTCGGCGGCTACTTCGTAGACTGATTTCAGCTCGTACGGGACAAGGAAACTTCGCTGCATGCCATCGTCGTTTCAATAACTTCGCCGCTTCAATGGAGTGTGCGTGTGGAGAGGAAGCATCGCCTCTCCACTTTATTCACTGTCGACTGCACGCACGCCAAACGCGTCGACTTCGAGGGACAACGTCACATCACGACTTTGTCCAAAAGCTTCTCGGGCCTAGGTGCCTTGAGAATTTTACATATTTTGTGCAGGAAACCGGCTGCTTCGGAGGCCAACCTGCGAGTCCGTCTCCAGCTCTCAGCGGAGAGGACATTAATTAGGACATAGCACGAAGCATGGCAGGAAGGAAAACGAGACGAGAAGAGTCGCTTTCCTACCTCATATTGGAGTATTGCATTTGGAATTTTTTGTTAAAGGGAATTTATGGGTGTTTTTATTTTTATTTTTAACTAGCTACTGGTTGTGTAGTGGTTCACGCAGTGAGACCGAGTTGGGCATATGGGAAGCATGATCTCGGCCGTGTACGCCGGTCCTTGACTCCTAGGAGATATAGAGCTTAGCTTAGGACCATAAAAAATAAAAAAATAAAAAATCCCTTCATCAAATGCTTCCATTAACCATCACCTGACTTATCTCTGTACTCCATATTTTCAACAGTGATACTATATTTAAATTTAGGGTAACCTATTTGAAATGAGCTGAATGGCTATTCATCACGGGCAGTATATCAATGATCTTTCAAGTAACATTAGAGGCAAGGAGCACTGTACAAGGTGCGGCCTGGGTCATAGAGGAACCAGTGTGCTAGATAATCTGAGACTCAAGCAGTACAATAAAAACATCAAACATCCCACTCATTCACTCAAATGTTGCGCAGGAATTCGTGTGTATTTTTCTTTTGATTTACCCTGGGCTACTTGACTCGTCATGATTGAGCACATTGATGCGTTTCCGCGTGGTTTCGATTATTTGGTTGGACGGCGCATACTTGTGCTCTTTATCATCGTTAATCCGATCCAACCGAACTCCAAAAGGCGTGCAATGGGTGTTAGTTACCTAGCACAACAGGAAACCAACAAACAAAAGGGAGCGGTTTGAGCGTTATCATATTGAATGGCATAGAAATAAATTGAGAAATATCCAAAGTAGTTTCAATCGTCTGTGTTCCTAAGATCTAGTCACACTGGCTTATGTAAGTTCGGACTTTACTATGTATCCCAACATTTCTCCTTGACCTATCAGTCTGAATCGAGTGGAACCCATTGGGCAGGAGATAGTAATCCAATTCATGTTATGATGTGAAATCACTTAGCCAATTAGACAAGCTGTCTTAGATGATATAGAGATCTATTCAAGATGTGGTTGGTGTAGTGACACCATAACAGTTGCTTGTGGATGGTGTGAACAAGAATGTAAACTATTCCATAGCATATGATAGAATATTTTACATTACAAGATGGAATATTCTACTAGCAATTAGATAGATGAGCTTTAGGTATAAATAGGAGTATTCTCCTTCATATAGATAGCAATCATCAGGAAACGAATCTAATAAAGCGAACACATGTCATCGTCCACTTCATAATAGTGTCAAGCACATTTTGATAAAGCCACTGTTTGTATGCAATTCCCCTCCTCATAATTACAATAATTCAACCTCATTAAAATCACAATATCTAGAATCGCTACTATGGAACGCGTATAAAGAAAATCGATGGGTGTGATTTGGGGAGCCTGCTCAATGCGCGTACGTAAAAAAAGGGCGACAGGTGCTCGAAATTCCGAAGTAAACATTCAGTAAATGTAAACTTGGTGCGCGCACAAAGCCTGTTGTTTCGACACGAAGGATGGGAAAGAGTACCCGAGCATCATATCTCCTAAACCTTCAGTCAGACATGATCTGTTAGAAACTGAGGGTCAAATGAAAAATCCAAGGTAAAAGTATACTGACGAAATTTCTATTCCTCTACTCCTGTCTAGTCTTTGTGCTATACACTCATCTAAACCTTTTTCCGGGGGAGGATACCTTCCATTACTTTCCCAAAATTACTTCATGGGTTAAATTACATGTGTTCAAGATGAAAAGATCTCAAGTCGGTGCTCCAATCATCCTGAACATCTTGATCACCATGTTTTTGGTTAGATATCAAATCTAGAGAGAGTTAATCCGAGAGGAAGTGTTATCCTATTATCCAATGATCTCCATTACTAGATTCATCAGGTTCCAAACTAACAGTTGTTGTTTTACAGAAACTGCAGGTCTACAGTGTTTATAGATCAAGGAAGGATAGAAAAATTACATTTATTAGAACTTCTCTTTTCTATAATTTGGATGCCTTTAATTCTCCAATGTAACCGTCAGCTCGCCCGAAAGAAACTCTCGATATGGAGTAATGCAAATTCCTACGTCTCCTATTGACCTCGTTTTCCAATGGAAGGAACTCTGCATCACTACCAATACGTCTGGCGTTTTTAGTTTCATGGACGTTACCAGTGAGAGAAGAAATCTCATCAATAAGAGAGCAAACACTTGTAGCTAAAAATGTAGCAATCAACACTCCATTCTGCACGTTGGGATAGAGACTCGTTTTTAGATGCCACATTTTAGTTTCTTCGCTCTGTTCAAAAAGATGCAGATGGCCCCGATACAAACCAAGTGCCTGGCTTTCTACATGCATGTTTACTCTGTACATCTCACCATACATTACGATTTCTTTCATCTGTATCGGTTGATCCGTAGTTATCCTAATTTTGCTCCATTCGTAATGCGGGACAAAGCCACTGTATTTTCCCCCCACTGAAATCTCATCTCGAAAAGCTAATTCTGATATTGAGGATAGAGAGCATTTCCAAAATCCCAGTGTTTCGGAGAGATTTATTGCAGAGTTCTTGTCTCGTTTACTTGATAGGTACTTGATATGCTTCAGACATCTGCCTTCTGCAAGGCTATAGCGGTTGCCTTTCAGATTCGAATTTTCCTTAAACATTACTAAGCCTTTGATCACAGAGCTCAAAATCTCAGCAATGGGAATATCATCCGAGCAGTATTTTGCTTGGTAAATGGCATAATGCGGAATATTGTCAGCTACAGTGACCCAGTGGGGACTTTCATCAGCCTTGGGAAAAGTGCAAGTTGATGGAGGATGATAGACGCCATAAAAAGGAAGATTTTCGCCACTCGTAATGACCAATCTTTCGGCACGAAAGAGATATGATGGGTAGCACGTGAGAAATGCATGAATACAATTCCTCATTGTCTGTTGACTGGAGGTATCCCTATATTTGTTAGGACAATATCAGCTTATCAGTTTCACGAGGACTAACAGATAATACGGCTCTCGAAGGTGTATTGAGTAAATGAACTGATTCTCCTACGCAAACCATGATCAGTAACAATCATTTATAATCCGCCATCCATTCAATGAACGAATTGTTGGAAATACAGTTTCCTGCTTTTCTTTCTATCGACCAATGTGGTTGCATGCATCTTGCCTGAACTATATTTCTGAGTTCGGGCAGGATCCCATACTTCTGATCCAATCGGATTCAACGTTTGAGTCTGCTTGAATCCCATTCTTCCCGAACAAACCCTGAAATTGGCTTTTTCGTATTTTTCTATTGCATGACCCAGTATTCTGACTCAGTGGATAATTCTTTTCTGGTCTGGGATCTTACTCATTTCTGCAGTCGAGTCGGTTCTGGATAACCTTTCTTCCTTGTAATTCCACTGTATATATCATAATACCTGTAGTCTTTTAGTCAATTAAGCAAACTGAACTCCTTCTCCGTTCTCAGGCAATTCTTACTCCGAAGTCTTCTCTATACTCTAGCACGAATAAGGCAAGAAGCCCGGACTGCAAATTTCGCTTCATCCATCGTTCGAAATTTAATACTCCAGTAGCGTTCACTGCAAATTCTCGGTCTATTGGTAGAGGTCGAGTCATGCCGGCTTAATCAAAGGTTACATGACAAGCATCTCGGAGGGGATGGCTACCCACGTCAGAGAGAAGTATAAGTTGTGTTAGTTGTGGGACTTGATGAGATCACGTCTGCCATTTTGATTTGATTTTATTTTATTTGATTTAACCTGATTCGTCGCCCTATGGGCCCATAAAGGTGGCTAAAAACATGTCTAGATATTTTCATGGGAAACCTATTCCGTAAAAACCCCCAAGGCTATCTGTTCCATGCCTACTAGTATCCTTGGGGCTTTATATAGCAAGTGCGTAAACACTGTTAATCAACTGTGAATTCCGTCCTTTCGTAGTTCACAGCGTCTCACTTTTTCGTCCAATGCAATTTCTACTTCTCCTCCGAGTCAGAACTGTTTAAACTAGCCTTTTGCCAGGATCTAATATGTTCTTCTTATTGTGAGGTTATGGATCGTAGAGGAATGCTGGAATGGTATAGGGAGGTGAAGGATATATGCCGAACAATGAAGCAGTTGAATAGAGCTTAAGGGTGAAGCTTGGTAGGGTGACACGAAGAGGGTACGAATAGACCTTCAGAGATATTCAGTAAATGTAATGAACTGAGATTGGAGTAACTACTGTAAGAGGTCTTACCTTCTGTAAGGATTCTTGAGAAATCCCTCAGGCAGGATTTATGGGTTCCTTATTTAATCCCACTAGTCTTTATTGCTTAGCGATGGCACCTATGTAGTTTCCATTTCCGAGTCTGATATCTTCACGCTTTGTTTTCTGTCTTTAGGAATAGTTACATTATTCTAATCACATCTCACTCTCGTCCTCTGCCAAACATAGTGACCTATTGTCACCTCCGGCCCCTCTATCTAGAACGACTCCCCGCTTTCCCTTTTACCACTTCTCTAGAAAGCCCTCCGCGTTACCACGAGGCGTTCTTCCTCAGTACATCCTACGCTACGCCCTATCCTACGCCTCGAGTCCTGCGCCTAGTGAACCTGCGCCTGACACCTTCAGAGATATTCAGTAAATGTAATGAACTGAGGATTTCTGAAGGAGAAGAACACTACATATATATACAGGAATCAGTCCTACTGAGACGAATTTAGAAATAAGCCAGGATATGCGCCCATGTCCCAGTATGGCGACATTATCATGGTGATGGTATGTCTTGACCACCAGTAGACTCCCAAGCTAGCTGAGTGTAAGACAGAATCATGCATATACCATAATTTCAAACATATCTTGTGTTAAGCGCCAAGACTAATTAATATTACAGAAAATAGATGTGGCGCAGTATTAAATGATACGAATAACGGAAACGAAAACGAGATAGTACATGACTAGTGTAACAGATGCAGGACTGTTAGAATTACAACACTTCTCTCCATATCATCTGGGCTGCTCAGTATTGCTGCAAAGCACCTGCAGTTTGCCTTTTGAAGCACCTCTCCGTTTATTCTTGCCCACTGAGGACACGCCAAGACCAGATATTTAACATTTTGAGACGGATATTAACCATTCCGTGGACTTTCCTCCCCTGTAGGTAAGAAAAGAGACCGTTGTTGGATAGGCTGTGCCTCGGTATCTGATCAGATAACAATGTACGTTGGGATAAAGATGTTCTTGTTTAAACTACAATAGTGATACATCTATGATAAACTTACACGAGGCTGAATATTCAGCCTTGTACCCTTAAATTGTACAAAGACCTCATCACAATGTTACTTCCACACGAAATACTAAAACTACGAAGTCGTCAAAGAGTAACCTGTATAATGACAAACAACAACCGTTGTGTTTATTTCTTATCTAAACTGCAATTCTACTTTGAGCCCTGCTTAGGATCTGGTGAATATTTGAGGGTATATTACTAGAGGCTATCCTTTTTATGCCTTTTATCTCACCTGAGACAATATTTGCGGCTTTCCAAGGTTCATCACCTACTGAAGCTCAGTAACCAGATGGTATATCCTTTCCTTGACGTATCCATGAGTCTTTCCACTCCTGGAACACTACCGCCTTTCCAACATCTTTTGGTCTACCTTTCGCATTCTCCGTGCCACAAATTCTGGCTCATCCTTCAGTGTCTAGCTTTGGATTCTTGGCGTGTCTATTCTCGGTTGGCCTTGTATTCTACTTGATTTTACTGCATGCAGATAGTTACGTTCTCTTGACAGGTAGTCCTTCTGATAGTCCGATGTGTTGGTCTCTCCTTTGTTTTGAGTACATATCTATGGGGAGAACCGCATATTTGCAATGGAGTATCCTACTGCTGGTAGAAATACATGTAGCTGTCATGTCTGTCAATGAAAATATTGCTGATCAGATATGATTGATTTATTATTTAACGTCCAGTGTGATGCCAAGCTATAAGGAAATGGTTAAACTGTCCTTTGCAGCTATTGATGGTGACATGAATTAAGATGATGATTGTGATTGAGATAGATTTCTATATAGTTTATAATACATGATATGCTCAGGTTCATATACCTCGAGCCAAGCAACCAGATAATGTTCCTCTAGATCTAGATTTATCAGAATAATTACTTACTCAGTAAAATTCTCCTAGTCTCAGTTGTGTGTTTAGGATCTTGATTAGGTTTCTAGTAACTAATCAATGATGTTTCTCATATCACTGAGACATAGTCATGGTTGATACAACAGGTATAAACGATGAATCGTGTCTGTACATGACGTTGTGATATAGTCATGATCGTCTGAACAATATCAACTCATGAATGAATCATGTCTCTACATGATACAAGCCGATATTCGGGGCCCTACTGCCTTCATATTACTAGACATACTAGCCGGAGGGCAAGACTGAACACCTGTACGCGGTGTCCTCTACGAACCTGGGATTGAAATATTCTCCCAGAGCCAAGTTCAGTCAAACTTTGCAACACTCAAGAAGTTAGCCCACAAGGCAGCGATTCAAAATATTCCACCACGTCAAATTTTCGGTCCCAGCGAGTTCGACTCCTTCCTATGTCTCATCAAGTCTACAAGTACAACCAAGTAAATTCTCATCCCAATGACCATACCTCTCTTCGACCTTCTCTGGCCTCAGTTGACCACCAAATACACGCCCACGCCGATATTTCGCGCGGAGAAAAGTTGAAAGATGATGAAGGCATGTCTGGATTACTCAGGGTTTTTGAGACGTTCCCGTGAGTGGGTATTCATGGATGAGGGTTGATGTGGGGTGAAGAAGAAGCCGCCATAACTCCCCAGTGGTACTTGCAAATGAAATCCGAGGCATGAGTGGTCTACTTTTAAATTGAATCATCTATTCTGTGCTTTTCTTTGATATTGTGTCATAGCTAGATAGCTGCATACGCAATTAAAATCTGATGCAAAAAAGTGGACAACGTCGTTCTTTTTACAACAAATTGTTCAAGTCCGACACTTGGAAGGAGTCACAACAGAGCGACAGCTAGTCTGCGGGGTCCCACAGGGCTCACCAATCTCGCCTCTTCTCCTTCTTCTGTACATGGTAGAGCCAATGCGCACTGGTGAGGTTTCAGCCACCGAAATCATGGATCGTCCGTGCGCCTAGCGCCACGCTGTCATATATAGTCCGGGCACTAACTACCAACACCAGAAGTGAGCAAGAGCGGAATACAGTGGAGGGAGAGGCACTTGGGAACAAATATAGTGGTAGCTAGTGACAAAAGTGGCCCGAACATAAATTGAGGATCGAACGCCAGCATAAAAATCGTACCCAACAGGAACGAGCAGTAGGTACAAATAGAGCTCGAGGCAATAGTTTAGAAGGGGGAGAAAAATGACAAGTCTTCACAGCTTTTGCGCATCTAGTATGGCCGACAGTAAAGCCCAGGACAGTTGCAAACCACCAGTCTTATCCATATACTGTTTCACTGATATAACCTATCATTTGTGACCCCTACGAAATTTTGCTAGCTAATAACATCAGCGGTATGACTGATATAGGGTTTAGTTACGCTAACAATATCAGCATTGTTGGTGTGACATACTTGTTGGAATCGCCGTTTCATCCACAACTTCCGCCCACCATCAGATACGGCTCTATAAATTCGACATTGGGTTTCGCATCGTATGTGGCTTTCGACTGATATAACTTTGGACATACGCATCCAAATATTACAACATATTTCGAGCAAAATCCGATTTTCGACCCTCTGGACGAAAAATTTTAACCCTAGCCTTGCCAAGCCTCGGCGCGTGACGCGCTCTGGACGCGTGGTCAGATGATACTCATTAGTATCACGTGACTTTCAAGTTTCCCTTTTTCATTTTTATTTTTAAAAAAAAATATTGTAGCAAAAATTTAAAATTCAAAAGTA